AGTAACAAAAAACGCAGCCAAAACACAGAAAATTGAACTAACGGAAGTCTGACAACAACAAACCGTTCAGCCAGACGGGTAAGATGGGGGGAGTCAGCAGCAGAGCAGGGTTGGGCAGGAAAGATCCCCCGACTCAGGCGCACAGGCAGCTGTGGGCGGATCCCAGGCATGGAGTGGCGACAAATGGACCCAGTGAGGGCACAAAGCCGCAGGCTGACTGCGGTCACACATTTTCGGGCAGATAAACCAGCGAAGGAGCAAGCAGTGAGACAGACCGAGCAGGCCCCAGTGGCAGGAAGCAGCAGAGGAGACCACTATTGCCCCTCTTTGACCCCGCCCCCACATACAGCGTCATAAACCAGCGACCTGGGTGGCCCCACCCTGGTGAACACCTAAGGCTCTGCTCCACATAAGTAACAGGTGCAAGGAGACCAAAACATAGCTCAAGAAGAACTCAAAGCCCAGGAGCCAATAACTCTAAGCTACAAAGAAATAGCAAAACTTTCAGATGCACAGTTCAAAACACTGGTGATCAGGATCCTCACGGAACTGGTTGATTTTAGTAACAAATTAGAGGAACAAATGAAGGCTAAACTAATTGAAATGAAGGGAAATGCACAGGAAACCAATAGTGATGGAAAGGAAAGTAGGACTCAAATCAAGGGAGTAGACCAGAAGGAAGAAAAAATGACCAAACAGAAAAATATGAAGAAACAAAAATTCAAAAAAATGAGGAGAGGCTTAGGAACCTCCAGGATGTCTTTAAGTGCTCCAACATCCGAATTATAGGGGTACCAGAAGGGGAAGAGAAGGGGTGACAAGTGGAAAACTTATTTGACAAATAATAAAAGAGAACATCCCCAATCTGGCACAGGCATTAGACTTCCAGGAAATCCAGGAAGCTCAGAGAGTCCCAAAGAAGTTGAACCCAACAAGGAACACACCAAGGCACATCATAATTATATTAGCCAAAATTAAAATGAAAGAGAGAATCCTAGAAGCAGCAAGAGAGAAGGGGACAGTCACCTACAAAGGAGTTCCCATCAGACTGTCAGCTGATTTCTCAGAAGAGACCTTACAGGCAAGAAAGGGCTGGAAAGAGGTATTCCAAGTCATGAAATCCAAAGACCTACAACCAAGATTGATCTATCGAGCAAAGCTTTCATTTAGAATGGAAGGGCATATAAAGTGCTTCTCAGATAAGATCAAATTCAAGGAGTTCATCATCACCAAGCCCTTATTATATGAAATGTTAAAGGAACTTATCTAAGAAAAAGAAGATAAAAAATATAAACAGTGAAAGGACAGCAAACTCACAGTTATTAACAACCATACCTAAAAGAAAAGCAAACTAAGAGGACAGCTAGATCAGGAGCATAACCATAGAAATGAAGTTCACGTGGAGGGTTAGCAACAGGGGAGTGGGAGGAGGAGAAGGGGGGAGAAGGTACAGAGAATAAGTAGCATAGATGGTAGGTAGAAAATAGGGGGAAAGCAAGAATAGTAGGGGAAATATAGAATCTAAAGAACTTGAGACATGTGGTCATAAACTAAAGGGGGCAATGGTGGGGCAGGGGATGTGCAGGGTGGAGGGGAATGAAGGGGGGAAATAGAACAACTGTAATGGCATAATCAGTAAATATATATTTAAAAAAGATACTGAATGATGAGTATATGAGGTTTCTTATACTACTTCACTTTTATGTCTAAAATTTTCCATGATAAAAGTTTTATTGTTTTGCTTTATAAAAGAATGAACCAAATAGGCTCATGCTAGCATCAAGCTTGTCTATAGGGAACAGGTCTGTTCACAGATACACTGACAAAACTCAATGTGTGAAACTTCTCAACAGTTATTAAAATCTAAGTTAATGAAACACATTATCTCTAACTTTTCCTGTAAAGCATTTGGGTTACTGCAACAAAAATATTTTTCATTTATCATATTTTAATCAACATGAGAAAATTTTTGATTTAAATAATGTGAAAATTTGCCCAGAAATACACTCTAAAATTGTGGAATCTTTCATTCATGATTGAAGTTATTTTATATGAGCCTTTTTCCCCCCAGTTTTAAACAGTGACTTACTATAATTTTTTCCTTGAAAGACAGTAAACTACAGAGCTGACATATAACTCATATTTCTTTGATTGACCATAGGTTTACTATCAAATGTTTACCTGGCAACTACTTCAGATACAAAATGATAGTTTAAATGTTTTTTTTTAGGATACTGATATTCTAAAACCTCATTTGAATTCTTTTTTAAATCCTGTCATTTCTAAGTTTGTTTGATACTGAAAAAATGTATCATCAAATAATGTAAGCAGGCACAAAATATCTTTAGACTGAAACAATGGTTCTCACAGGGGTATAATTTACCCTCATTTGTACCTCCAAAGGGCATTTGACAGTTTCTAGAGACATTTCTGGTTGTCACAACTTGGGGGAAATTCTTGCATCTACTGGATAGGGTCAGCAGCTGTTTTGCTAAGCATCGTCTAATGCATAATGCAGTGCCCCACGCCCAATGCAATTATCCAGAAAATCAGCAGTGTTGAGATTAAGAAAGCCTGAACCACAGGGAGAGATTGCCTGGAGGTAGTCTCCACGCCACAGTTACCATTCCATGGAGGAGGCCATCCATCTCCTTGCTTAGCCAGCACAGCCACACTTGTGAGGAAAGTCTACATGGACACCAGGATGTCCACTCAGGATGTACATAATCGAAGTTAGCCTGTGCATTTTACTGGCAGAAATCATGCTCCACCATGATATTCTTCTCTCTTGCTTTCCATCTTTTGTGACATACATATTTTATTGAAATGCTTGCCACTCTTGAGTTATTCAGTTTTAGTCTGCTGAAGTATTGGGTTTTCCGAAGTATTCTGATGATTTGTGAGCCCAGTAAAGCAGAATGCAATTCTGAGGTGTAGGGGAAAGAGGGGTTGGAAGAGGGAAGCATTTACCTGGATGTTTGGAAGATGAGTCACTTGGCAGGAGGCACCTAGAAGACGTGAGAGGTCGTGGAACAAGGACCCACTCGTCCTTGAATAGGCTCCTCACCTGGGCATGTAACTGCCACTAAAATTCTCAAGTGGGACTCTGCTGCAAGCTTCCACCTAGGAATAGTGGTGGGACAAAGAGAAAGCATCAATTTATGCTTGAGGGTCATAGGAACTTTTGAGAGTGGCAAGAAAAGAAAGACGTTTATTTAGCTGCTCTCTTGACTTCTAACTTAATCAGAAAGGTGTTTATAATTTCGCAGGAAAACAGTAGCCTGTCAGTGGCTCTCAGCTGTGGGTGCACCTTGTGACTTCAAAAAGCCCCAACACCCAGGCTTCACCCCAGGCAAGTCATGGCAGACCCTCTGAGGGCAGGGGATGGTGGAGAAATGTAAACAAGATTTAAGAACGGCATATTAATGGCATCTCTAAATTTGGGAAATGTGTACACTGAAAGTACCCTAACTTTCTTTGGGGGTGGGCAGTACAGGATACTAAACTTTACTTAAGGATTATGTTGTTAAGGATTGTCATCTCTGGGTTATGTTAAAAATACTAGAATATGGTTCTCTTTAATGTAGGGAGTACTGAGAATTAACAAATTAGGGGGAAGATATCAGAATGTAAAAGAAATATTTATTCTGAGGATATTACCTGAAATACATGGTATCATGTTGAAACAGAAACATCATAAAATGTTACCAGGGAATTTTAGACAGTGACCCTCATTGTAGCAGTGGAAAATTGTAACCATGGGAAATTATAACCCACCCCACCACTCTTTTGACACTGTTTGTTTGTTTGTTTGTTTGGACTTCAGATAAGTGCTGACTCTAATATGTAGCTTGTAGATGAACGACACATTTGTATAAGAATCCTAGGAACTAACTTCAAAAGACACAAGGTCTGACCATCAGGCACCCCAGCTCCAGAAGATTTGCTGACCTTCAATGGTGGAGTCAGGATGACGTAAAACAAGGATGACGTGAATACAAGATGACTAAACCAGGATGATGCACACTGGATGATGATGCACATCATTTGCCTTATCTCGATGTGCTCACCTGCACATGGAGAACTTTTCAACCCCCTTCCTTGAGCTCTCTCTTCCTTGTTCTGTTTCCCTCCCCCTCCTTCTAAAAACCTCTGCCTCCACTGAGAGGTAGAGATGGACTTTGTGACAAGAGTACCCCCTCTTCCCAGGAGATGGGGCTTTGAGATGTGAGTCCCTCCCATCTTCATAGGAGATGGGCTTTGAGACATGAACCCCCCACCATCTTCCAGATGGCTGGCATCTGAATAAACCACTTTCCTTTAGTCCAGCACTTGCCTCTTGAGTATTTGCTTTTGTAGCAGCAGGCAGACAGACCGCCTCTGGTTATGTCGCTGAATGCCAAAAAATGTCCTTTTTAAAATCAGAATTGTCCCCAAGTTCAACCTTCTAAGAAATAAAGTTAGAAACAAGTGGATGAGATTTCTGATATTAAAACCAATGAAGAAAACTGGTTTATGTGTTTGATCTACCACTGGACTTTGCCATCTTCCAACAAGACAACTATTTTGAAATGTTGGGAAGAAGGTCTTCAGTTACATAGAGAGGCACAAACTTTTCTATGGCTTAATTTTTTTTTATTTTTAAAAAAGTTGAAGTCAGAAACGACAGTTTTCATGAAAGTCAATGTTTGCAATGAAATCTAAAGGTAGACTTGAGTTTGGTCAGTAGCTTCTGGATTAGATTCATTTCTATATTAAAATAGATTCTATCCTTTCACAATACTACATCAAAGTACATTGTTGCCTTAGTTTTTCTTGTGTAAATTCTCGTTTTGTCTTATCTTGTAGAAATTCTGGCCTATGAAGTCCCAACTTCAGTGAGAGACCATCCTAGGGTCTAGAAGAAAGAGCCTGGCATAGAATTATTTGAAAGAATCTCCATGAAGTACAATTACAATGTTTAAAAAGATTTTATTTATTTTTAGAGAGAAGAAGAGGGAAGGAGGAAAGACAGTGAGAGAAACATCAATGTGAGAGAGAAACATGGATCAGTTACCTCTTATATGTGCCCATACTGGGGACAGAACCCACAGCCTAGGCATGTGCCCTGACCAGAAATTGAACAAGTGACTTTTCTGTTTCTTGGATGACACCCAACCTACTGAGACACACTGATAAGGGCTGAATACAAGTTTTTTGGAAAGATTTGAAAGGTGCTAGCTTTGGTAAGAGGTTAAAATAATAGCCAAACAGAACTATACAATAAAAAGGGAATATTATTCTTTAATAAAAATAATAACCAAAAGGAGAGGTAACAAATGACAAAGTTCTGTTTTTCTTTGCATGATAGTGAGTCAGTAGGTACCAGTGCTAAGTTTTCTACACAAACTTCACCTCATTCTTTTAACTATGTACATTCAGTCTACCACTTAAAAAAAACTGAGTTGGTATTTGTAAAAACAAAGTTTTAAAAAAAGGTGATTACATGTTTTCTAAGTTAGATGAAAAAGAATGATTGATCCAATTCAGTTTTGACCACTTATTTAAAAGGATATATTGAACATTATGTGAAAATAACATTTAGCAAAATTGCTGAAGTACCTGATCCTTTGCAGATAATTGCACTTGCTAAAGTCTAATATTTTTTCCAACGACCTAGCAGGGGTGTCCAAACTTTAAGTGCCTCAGGACCATGCTGGAAGAAGAAGAGTTGTCTTAGGCCACATTTTAAATGCACAAACATTAATGAAAACTTATGAGCAAAAAAATTTAAAGGTTTTAAGTAAATTTACAATTTTGCATTAGGCCATATTCATAGCCACCCTGTGCTGCATGCAGCCTGTCGTGGGCTTTGGGTTGGACACCCCTGCTAAGGAATGCTTCTTGAACACAGACTAAACTGAACCAAAAATACTTCTGTGACCAAGTATGGTCATCAGTACAGCAAAATTCCATACATTATGAGCATGTTAGCTCAGGGGTGAAGTTACACACAATGTACAATTCTGAACCCTGGCTAAGTAAATAAATACAAAATGAACACTTTTTAAAAAACAGTTCATAGATTGGCATGGTCATAGTTAGTCAGTGAAACACAGTTCATAAATTGTTTATTTGTGATGCTGACTCCATTTATACCTGGTGGGTTATTCAAGGTCAGGCTACATTAGCATCACTGGACGGCTAGCACCCAGCACCCTGCCTATGCACCCATGATGAACACTCCATCACGTTGGCTGAGTCAAACAGTGAAATCTCATGAGTCCATTTCTGATTGTAATCAGTTTTGTATGTCATAATTTCCCCTCGTGTTCCAAAACTTTACTGATTTACACAGTTTTTTGGCACTACCTCAAAATTCATACAAACAGAACTTTCCTATATGTAAAATAAAAATGCACCATACTACTAGTGCTATATTTATTTTACTAACTGAAGGGTCTTTGCCAATTGTTGGCTATATGAAAATATGCTTGTGATAAAAACTGAAGACAACAGTGACAAAAATAGGGATATAATGTTAAAATCAAATAATATACAATACTGTCATTATTCTGATACAGAATTTGCACACAGCAATATTGATACAGGTACAAATGGCAGGATGTTAGGCAATCCATTATAACAGAACTTTAGATTACAAATGAAGTTTAAATTCAACTTAATACCAACTTAAAAGTGATAACTAGTGTTATGCCAGGTAAAAATCAATATTTCCTCTCCAAGTGACATTTTAGGGAACATCTCTAACTCTGAGACTTTTCTAACAAAATGAACTTCATAAAAAGAAATAAATGTAATACTGTATTGTAGAGATTTTCAACCTTTTTTATTTCATGGCACACATAAACTACTAAAATTCTGTAGCATGCCAAAAATATATTATTGTTTTGCTGATCTGACAAAAATAGATATAATTTTGATTCATTCACACAAGATAGCTATTGTTGTGTTGGCTGTTGTCATTTTTTTTTTATTTGACAGTCTAAGGGGAAAAAGGTCAGGGTCCTTGACTCAATAGCTAGGTACTGCATATTTTTAAAATTCTTACAGCACACTGGTTGAAAATTGTTATTGTACTGGAAACTCTTTAAAAAAAACCCAAGTCTACAAATCTGAACTAAATTAATTTGACTTTCCATTACTTCTGTCCTCATATAGTCATACAGCAGACCTGAGGTCCCCTTTGCATAGACTGGTTCAGTGGAATGTTTAGCAGCACCCCAACCTCCATTCCATGTAAGTTTGGAGTGTCTAGTTCAACTATACACTCTTCACTGTTTAAGTATCAGTAAAAAACTTGATTCCCATCAGTGACTCTGCCAGCAAGCTGAAGGATATGGACAAGACTCCCACCCCTTCTCAATTACATTTTTAAATGCCAGAGGGGCAGGGAGAGAAATGGCAAAGAATAAACTGAGGTCCTTAAAATTCTTTGATGAGTGAGAGACAAGGGACCGAAGGGTAAACAAGGATGTGTGTATGTGTAGTGGGGCAGGATTGGGAGAAAGAGAGTTTAAAAAAAAAAAAAAGGTTTCTGTAACAAGATATCAAATTCTTATTCTCCTCATTTTTGTGAAAATAGATTGTTGGCATTTTAAAAAGCAAAACCAAATCAAAACAAACAGGGAAATGAGAACCAATTCTCTAACATCTTGCATGTTACATTCTATCCAAAATTTAAATTTTTTCAATAAAAAGAGGTCATTTAAAAATCAAAGCTAGAGGGGGGTGGGCTGGGTTGGGAGTAAAAGACAGAAAACTGTACTTGAACAACAATTAAAATAAACTAAAAATAAAAAATAAAAGCAAAAAAATAAAGTAGAATAAGCTTCTGCAAAAGAAATCAAAGCTAGAAAGGTTACTTGAAAAGTTGAGGAAGTAATAGCATTTCTTTCTGGCATACCAATTTTTGGTACAATCACAAAAAAAATAGACTTTACAGAAATCACGTGGCTGTTTACATTTAAAATTTCTACTCTAAAGTGATTACTTTTGGGCTAAACAGACAAATCGGTTGAATGAAGCCCGTAAACAGGCTAAGCCAGGCATACATGGACACATATGATGCATTCTCCGCCCAAAATATGGAACCTAAAATAAAAAAGAAAACCGAGTCAGAGCAGAAAACATTAAAAAAATGTCAAACTATTCTTGAGAAATTTCTTTTACTAACAGCTAGCATTTATTGAGTGCTAATGATTCATCAGGCAATATGCTTAACACTTGTATGTATTATCCTTTTCCATCCTTACAACCACTATGAAGATGGCAACTAATTATACCCATTTATAGATGAGAGACTGAGACACAGAGACATTAGTAAGACATTGCCAAATACCCAGAACTTGAAGCTTTGCTGGCAGCTGGACTAGAGGCTAAGCTTTTAACCATCAAGCTATACTGTCTTTTACTTTTTCTCATTTTAATTCTTTTTATCGTGTCCTGCTACTGAAGCTCCTTAGGAAGAGCATTACACTATGGCATGACTTCACCTATAAATTTGCTTATATAATAAGCAAAGATAAATTCACTGACAATGAGCAATATATAACTTCACATGTTTGCACATGGTGTCAGAGGAATCAAAATTCTGGGGGTGGGGGGAAGGAGGAGGAACAAGAGGAAAGTTAGAGAAGGAGGCAAGCTCCATTTGCTGAAATGGAACTAACTAAACCCTGCCTAGGGACAGCCTGCAGTAAAAGGCTGGCTTCAACCCAAGAGTCATTCAGCTAATGATCTGCGAGCCCTGACCATGTCACCAATGAAGCTGGTTGAGAAGGGTCAACCAACAACTGGTGTGATGGCTTTCTGTGCTAGGAGCAAGTGGAGCACCCTCCAAATATGTATGCTTTCTAGAGGCAGAGTGCAAAAATTATCCTTCCTCCCCTAGGAATGGTGCCTCACGGGAATCTGCCTGCTTTGCAAGTTATACAAAGAAAATTTAACGTCAAGCTTAGAACAGGTGAATCAATGAATTGGGATGGCAAATTAATCAGATTCAGGCTAAAGTGAGAGAGGCAAGCTAGTAGAGACTCATGCCTCAGGTCGTTCTATAGTTTACACATGGCAGGAAAATGCATCCTTCCTGTTTTCCAACTCAAATGCTTTTATTTGGTGCAATGCTAGTGTGTTTTTTATTCTATTTCATCAAAAGGCCATCTTGCACCAATTACATGTCCTTATGAGAAATCTGAGATGCATTTTCCTGATGCCTCCTAGATAATTTTACATATAAAAAGAAAAGAAAGAATAACTGTCTATAGACAGTGGCAGAACCATTCTAACTTTATTTTGGGGTTGAACTGATAAAACAAATCCAACAAGAATCAAGGCTAATTACTCTGAGTGTTAACTTTGAGTTGTACCATGCTCCTGGTCTTCTTACCTGTTTTCCTTTTTCTTCTCTTCTTGTTTCTTCTTTCCTGCCTCCCATTTCCAAAATGGTTCTGGAAGGGCCAGGGAGATGACTGAGATCAATATATACAAAGGAAATCAGGAAGAGGGCAGAGTATGAATGTGATGGACAGGCAGAGACATTCACGTGTCTCTGTCTTTTTGAAAGGGCATTGCTTTCAAGGCTCTAAATGCATTGTATACACATGGGTACCATGGCCATCAGCACCATGCAGACTTATGCTCAGAATGGTTCTGTCACTGTGTGTGTAAAAAGATACACAGATGGTTAGCTCATTTGTTGCCACTGAGATTATGTCAGAGAAGGTGGGCAGAGATAGATTAGTGTGGACAATTACAGGATAGTATGAGAAGTTATACTCCATGAACTTTATGATCCCTTCTGAGACTTTGAGAGCTCCTTTTTTGTCAAGACTAAAGCTACTGCTTGGGCTAGTGGTTCTTTGTTGAGAGTGATGCTTCCCCCACCGCTTTCACCAGAGGATGTAGGCATCCACAGAACATTTTTGTCTGTCACAATTGAGAGGGCAGTACTATTGACATTTAGTGGGTAGAGGTTAAGGATGTTGACAAACATTGTACAGTTCACTGGACAGTCCTCATAGCAAAGAATTATCTAGTCCAAAATGCCAATAGTGCTGAGGTTGAGAAAAATTACCACAGGCAGCAATCTACAAGGAAAAGCAGCCTGAAATAAGTGAACTGAAGTTATAACGAGCAAGTCAAACTCTTGTACCTAGAAAATACTAAGCATATTTCTTTCACTCATTCATTCATTCATTCATTCATCCAACTGACATTTACTTGGTGTCACCAATACGTTAGGTTCTACTTCAGGTGCTGCAGATACAGCAATGAACAAAACCAGGAAAGCCCCTGTTCATCACAGAGATCACATTTTAATGATGAAAGATAAGATAGTTTCAGCTACTAATAGGTTCTCTCACAGTGCTTACAGTCCTGTGCATTACAACACTATGATCGCTCTTTGGCTTGTAACATGAGCTGTCAGTGCCAATAGCAAACAGAAAAGAAAAATAACAGTGTCAGCCTGACATGGGCCAGGCCTTGTAAGGCATTGTGTATAAATGTCAAATAAGGCCCACATGCCAGTCCTCATTTTGACATGAGCTAAGTGGCTTCCTCTTGAGGTGAAGTAATGTCCCTGACAGAGGTCACACCCAGTTAGAAAAGGAAAGTGACATAGTCAAATCCAGTCCCACTTTCTTCTAAATTTTTCTCTCTCCTCAAATACCACCATGCCTGGATTTAGGCTCTTTGAAGAAGGGACAAATCTATGTTATTTATGAGTACATAACACTTAGGAGACACTTAAGAAAGTATTTGTTAAATGCCTATCTCCCTCCTCCACTCCGGCCATCATCATAATCCATGACTTCCCTGAAAGCAAAGGGACAACTATCTCTGGTCCCATGACCTATCGTCACCCCACACACCAACTCCCACATGGAACAGGCCCAATGCAACAAAGACCACAATTTCCAACTTGACATACTCAGTGATCCTTGCCAATTTCTTGACCGGCCCTTCACTTCTAGATCTATATATGTGTACATTGTGTGACAAACCAATAGGTGTCTGATGGTCACCAATGTATAAGCAAGTGCTTACAAAGATGCATATTCAGATGTACAAATATAGTTCAGGGCTAATCATTCAGCCCACACTTGATGATATACTTTATAATCAACTATGTACTCAATCCAATGTTTCTAATGGAACCCTAAACAGCAAATTTTAGAAGACAGCAAGGGAGAACATGCAGCTTGTTGGCGAAGGCATGATCTTTATCCATTTGCAGCATCTTTTAAAAAAGGAAATAGGACTGAGACATAACAAAGGTTTTTTGGTGTGATTCCTCTCAAAACAGAGACAATTTTGTTACAGAAGAAAGTATAATGAAACACAGGAAGAAAAGTCTAGTCATGTGACATAAAAAAACTGGTCCTATTGTAATTTTATTTAAAATAAAACCAGTTTTGTTACAATATTTTTCAATAAAGGTGCTTAGCTTTAAAAAATCAAATGGAAGAATAGTGCATGAAATGAAAATTGAAAGTCTCAGCTCCCACAATTTCTGCTTTTAATAATTATGAAAATCACTATGTATCTTAACTTTGTAAAGTTTTACATTGTTTCTTCAATTCTTTTGAATATGTATACATTCATATAACACTAAATAATGCAATCATTTTTCTAACTCTGTCTTGTGAGTAGAGAGTTAATGTGGGCCTAGGAAACTGGAGGCTGCCCTGACCTTGGCCTTCCACTGCACTGTCTCCTTAGAAAGTGTGACTGAAAACAGAAATGGTGCATTGGCCTCACTGGTGGTGTGGAACTTGGGTTAGGGGAGCTGTTGATATGCAGGCCTTGGGCCTCTTAGGCTACGAGGTCATAAAAGATTTGCAAAAAAAGATAGTAGTTTCTGTGGATCAAGGGGATCCTCCACATAACCTGGCCCTCATCTTTGGCAGCCACAAGCACCCCATGTTGATGAGCAGTCAAAAGAAGCTGTGTGCTTGGGTAGCTGTTGAAGCTACCTCATTTCCCCCAAAAGCTACCTCATTTCATCCCAATGAAATGAGGGTGCTTCATGTTCTATACTGCGTCCTGTAGGCTAGATGTATTATTAGACAAGTGGTGCTCAATGACGGTCATTCTAATACCCAACCCCACCATCCAAATGCCTCCAAACCTGCCAGGGGACTTTTGTCATAGTCTAGAGACATTTTGATTGTCACAACTAGATAGTGGATGGTGGCCAGGGATGCTATTAAACAACTCACAATGCACAGGAAAACCCCCCTACAACACAGAATTATCTGAACCAGATATTGGTGGTGTCCAGGTTGAAAAACTCTGTATTAGACCAAAACATTTATTTCTTGAGCATCTCTCTGCCAATGGCCAATGAACCTGTAATCACAGCTACAATTCTTCCCCAAGAATCAAAAGTAGGGTTTCTTGATATTCATGATATGAAAGATGAGGCAATTAGCATATTATACTTTCTTTCAGCTGTCTTTCACTACATTTTTGTAGTCGTGTAAGTTACATTTTAGTTGCCAATTCAAAAATTTTATACTCCACCCTGAAATTACAACCATGCTTACTTACAATGTTTTGTCACAGGTTGAGCCTATAGTAGAAACAGTTAATAATTTTTTAAATCTTCCATTCTCTTTTTACATAAACAAAAGACCCATGATTTAATTTGAGTTTTTTCCTTCAGAAATTAAAAATGTATTTTTCAAGTTTTACAGTACAGCTAAACACAAAAAGAAAATCTTTAGGAATGAGGAAGATGGTAGCAAAATAGGTAGGAGCGGAGTCCACTTCCCCCAGTGCACAGGTGGAACACCTAGCCATTCTTGTGAGGAACAGAGTGAACAGCCAATGGAATCCCACCATATATGAAGGTTGGAGGCCAAAAATTGTAGAGGACATTGAAAAATTGGATGGTAAGGAGATTGCTTTGGGACAATAAGGTCCCTGAGACCAGTGTGGGGACCAGGGTCGCTGTAGCCCCAGGCCCAACCTCAACTGGGTCTGCCCCAGGATTCTTGGCAGAGAGCCAGGTCAATGGCTCTCTCCCCTGCCAGATGGGGAGGTTTGAGCAGCACCAGAACAGACCTGGATGCTTGAAGTCGCTGGGGAGAATAAAGACAAAATGGCAAACACACAGGGGTGGTGTGCACCTGCTGAGCATATGGGCAGCTGGGAAGAGTTGGGCAGTGATGGATCCTGACCTGGTAGTTTCTGGTCTGGTTAGACAGTTGGGCTATGTGAAAGAGAGGCCAGGTGCTTGTTTGGAGCAGCAAGCTTGAACAGGAGGAGTTTTTACAAAAAGGAAAAAGAAAAAAAGGAGGCACTCAGTGGCTGTTGAGGGAATTCTCCTGCAGCAGCCCCCCAAACTCCCCCTGCTGGGTACCCACAGCCTTGGCCTGGTCCCACCTCTGCTGCCAAGACTGTGGCTGCACTCCTACCCTACCCCTAGCCTCAGCAGCACAGGGTGCCAATCTGCGCCCACAACCACAGTGGTGCACTACTGACCCAGCCGCCCCCCCACCCTCTGTGGCTGCCACCACAGCTGTGGAGGCCAGTGCACACCCAATCCCACTGCCCTGGCTGCAGCAGCAGAGGAGGCACTCACTTGCACCAGCCACTACAGCCATTGGGGCGCCCCCACCTAACAGGGTGACTGGTGCTAAGAAAGTGGAGACTCCTGTAGAGAGGAGAGTAGCAAGGCTCAGGGAGTCAGCAATCCTGAGAAATACTTACTCAGTGGGGGAACCGAACTACCCTGAAGAGACTCTGAGAGTCCCTAGCATTTAAGACAGCAAAGAGCAAGAAGGTGGTATGTGAGTGGCCCCTAACTGCTGCATCTCAAGGGATAGCACAGCTGGTAGACTGAAGGCGCAGAAGGGCACTGGAGGCCTGGCAGCAAACTGAGGAACTGGGCAACTGTGAAGAAGGTGGCTCAGACCTGGCCCCCATCCCTACAAAACCACAGGAAGCAAGAAAAGCAAAACCAATCTCCCTTAACCTGCTGCTGCCAGGAAGACCAGCAGAACTGGCTTGGCTGGTTTAAAGGCAGCAGGAAACTGTTTTTTCTTCTTCTTTCTAGCTTTCTTTCTTTCTTTTTTTTTCAATTCCTGCAAGTGATACAATAAAACATGAAACTGTGAAAGGACCAGAGTTAGACCCAAAGAGGGATCATCCCAATAACTGAGACAGTGAGACTAATATTACTTTGCTATTCCACAGAACTTGCAAGTTATTGTATATTTATATTATTATTTTTCATTATTTTACATCTTTTATTTTATTAGTATGTTTTTACTTTTCTTCTTTCTGTTTAGTCTTCTTTGCTTGGTTTGTTAAATTGCATTGTTTGACTGGTTTTCCTTGTTCACTTCTTCACAGTGTATTTTTAATTTTCTGTCTTTCACTTCACTTGTGTCCCAATAATACACTACTCTGGGTCATGTACTTACTATTCTTGTTATTC